AAGATATAAGCAACTACTGGGAGAAAGATGGGCTGGTGAGAACATAGGTAATGAGGTTGAAGAAGTATAGGGTAGAGTTGAGAAAGGAGAGTGCATAAATGGGGTGGAATCATAATGGGGTCCAGTCACTAGTGGTGCTCCACAAAGATCAGTTTTAGGCCCATTTTTGTTCATAATTTACATTAATGACCTAGTCAAGGAAATACCAAGTGACACAAATTCACTGATGACAAAAATAGGTCGAAAATTCGCTGATGACAAAAAAGAAGGTTGAAAATTCAGACAAAAAAAAGGCCGAATAATAGATTCTGAAGAGGATACTACTGAACTTCAGGTAGATATGGACTAACTAATGTCATGGTCTGAAAAGTGGCAGACGCAATTCATTGTGGGCATGTATGAGGTAGTAATCCTTGAGAATGAAAATGGCCCCCATACTTACAAACTAGATAACGTAGAGCTTAATAATAATGCCTTTATTTCTACAAGTATATGTACAAGGTATACGAGCATAACTGATATCAATGACATACAGTATTACTGTATAGAAAGCCGCTTGTTATGCTGAGCATTTCGGGCAAATTAGGTCAGTTTTGTCCCAGGATGCGACCCACACCAGTCCACTAAATTCAAATTCATTTATTTCTAAGCAAGTAGTACATTGAGATTATATTTTAACAATAATGGGGTGCAGTGCAAAGAGAGCAGACTTAATTTAGTGGCTTACTGACTACTTAACACAAAAAAAAAGTATCATAGTTGTACAGTAGTTCTATTAATTGGCAGTGAATCTAATTTATACAAACCAAAGGATATATTCATATACTGTATTCAAAAGTGCTTTTCATGAAACCCCAGGTACCTATTTTATATTGATGGGTTAACAGGGACAGCAGGTGTCTTATGGAAACACGTCCCTAATGTTTTCCAGCCGTACCTGAGACTCGATCTCTGGAACTCAGTGTGTGAGCTTAGTACGCTAGTTTATAATCACTGCTTCTGCTGTCTTCTCCATATTCGACTGAAGAAGCCTACTGTGTAGGCGAAATGCTTCAACAATGAATTGCTGTATAGTCCTTGTGGCTTAGCGCTTCTTTTTGATTATAATAATAATAATAATTCAACAATGAAGATAAACTGTTGCACGTGTCTTGCTCATCTACTTGTCAGTATTATATACCATTTACATAACTATCATGAGGTACTGAAGCTAACTTCTTGGGTATTTTTGATAATGGGTTGGAAAAATATGTTGGTGGAAATTATTGGATTTGAGGATCTGTCAAGTATGGACCAGAAGGTCTACTGCAGTGTTCCTCCTTTATTCTTATGTTCTCTTCGTCAGCGCTGTATGACCCTTGTGGGTTTAGCGCTTAGTTATAATAATAATAATAATGATAATAATAATAATTTCTCTGGCTCTCATCTGGAGACTCCATCCCAGCACAAGTGGAAACGTTAGTAAGTTTATAAGTACAATTATCACACAGTTTAACGTGTGAAAATTACTTAGGATAACCCGCCAAAAGCCCCTTTGTATGCAGAGTATTTCGGGCAAACTTAAAAATTAACTTAAGTTTAGGAAGGCAATAATAATTCATATGGTCATTAGATAAGTTACAGTGAGTACCAGAGATTTGAATAATATTCTATAAAGTAACGCTACATGCCTTTGATAAGTCTAGTAGAGAATAATTACAATATTGAATTAGTTTATAAAAATTACAGTATTACAATAAAACAATTTACATTATGATCTATTACAATTTAATACTGTTTAAAACAGTGAAATTTAGATATAAACTTTCTCCCTCAGATTTATCTCAACCCAGATTTCTGTAACATTTCGTACCCGAACGTCGGGAGATGGAGGCTAAAAAGAAAAGGATGAGGGTGGGGACCTGAATAGAAATAAATCACACTGACTTGAATGAGTTATCTTAGGTTAGCCTTCCCTCCCGATGAGGGGCTCTTGATCCAAGGAATTTTATCTTGACTTCCTTTAGGTCGAGCTTGATTGCTTGCTATTGCACTAGGAATTAGGACCTAGATGACTCTCAAGTTATAGCTCTCCCTAATGAATATAATAATAATAATAATAATAATAATAATAATAATAATATCTTAAGTTAAATCTATATAATTTTTGTGTCCATAATAAATGTATTTCCTCAAGACCATTATATAAAAATATACGACAAACACCATAAATTTGGTGCTCCGTGGCCAGGTGGCTAAACCTCTCGCTCCACACGGCGAGCATCCGAGTTCGATTCCCAGCGAAGGTAGAAACATTGGACGTATTTCTTTACACCGGTAGTCGATGTTCACCTGTCATTAAAATGGGTACGTGGGTGTTAGTCGAAATGTTCTGCATAACAAGCGGTTTTCTATATAATAGTATGTCATTGATATCAGCTATTACCTGGAGAGAGTTCCGGGGGTCAACGCCCCCGCGGCCCGGTCTGTGACCAGGCCTCCTGGTGGATTAGAGCCTGATCAACCAGGCTGTTACTGCTGGCTGCACGCAAACCAACGTACGAGCCACAGCCCGGCTGGTCAGGAACCGACTTTAGGTGCTTGTCCAGTGCCAGCTTGAAGACTGCCAGGGGTCTGTTGGTAATCCCCCTTATGTATGCTGGGAGACAGTTGAACAGTCTCGGGCCCCTGACACTTATTGTATGGTCTCTTAACGTGCTAGTGACACCCCTGCTTTTCATTGGGGGGATGTTGCATTGTCTGCCAAGTCTTTTGATTTCGTAGTGAGTGATTTTCGTGTGCAAGTTAGGTATCAGTCCCTCTAGGACTTTCCAGGTGTATATAATCATGTATCTCTCCCGCCTGCGTTCCAGGGAATACAGGTTCAGGAACCTCAAGCGCTCCCAGTAATTGAGGTGTTTTATCTCCGTTATGCGCGCCGTGACGGTTCTCTGTACATTTTCTAGGTCAGCAATTTCACCTGCCTTGAAATGTGCTGTTAGTGTGCAGCAATATTCCAGCCTAGATAAAACAAGTGACCTGAAGAGTGTCATCATGGGCTTGGCATCCCTAGTTTTGAAGGTTCTCATTATCCATCCTGTCATTTTTCTAGCAGATGCGATTGATACAATGTTATGGTCCTTGAAGGCGAGATCCTCCGACATGATCACTCCCAGGTCTTTGACGTTGGTGTTTCGCTCTATTTTGGGGCCAGAATTTGTTTTGTACTCTGATGAAGATTTAATTTCCTCGTGTTTACCATATCTGAGTAACTGAAATTTCTCATCGTTGAACTTCATATTGTTTTCTGCAGCCCACTGAAAGATTTGGTTGATGTCCGCCTGGAGCCTTGTAGTGTCTGCAATAGAAGACACTGTCATGCAGATTCGGGTGTCATCTGCAAAGGAAGACACGGTGCTGTGGCTGACATCCTTGTCTATGTCAGATATGAGGATGAGGAACAAGATGGGAGCGAGTACTGTGCCTTGTGGAACAGAGCTTTTCATCGTAGCTGCCTCAGACTTTACTCTGTTGACTACTACTCTCTGTGTTCTGTTAGTGAGGAAATTATAGATCCATCTACCAACTTTTCCTGGTATTCCTTTAGCACACATTTTGTGCGCTATTACGCCATGGTCACACTTGTCGAAGGCTTTTGCAAAGTCTGTATATATTACATCTGCATTCTTTTTGTCTTCTAGTGCATCTAGGACCTTGTCGTAGTGATCCAATAGTTGAGACAGACAGGAGCGACCTGTTCTAAACCCATGTTCCCCTCAAGGAAGGTTCCTTGATGTTGGTGAGGGGCTCTTGATTTAGGGAATTGGATCTGTGCTCCAGTTCCCCGAATTAAGCCTGAATGCCTTCCACATCCCCCCCCCCAGGCGCTGTATAATCCTCCGGGTTTAGCGCTTCCCCCTTGATTATAATAATAATAATCTAAACCCATGTTGCCCTGGGTTGTGTAATTTATGGGTTTCTAGATGGGTGGTGACCTTGCTTCTTAGGACCCTTTCAAAGATTTTTATGATATGGTCTATGGTCTATATACCCTTGTACATGTACTTGTAGTAAATAAAGATATATTATTATTATTATTATTATTATTATTATTATTATTATTATTATTATTATTATTATTATTATTATTAGTATTATTATTGTCATGTGGCTTTGGTGACTCTTATTTCCAACAACGACAACAATTTGTAACAGCATTCCAGAGAGGAAAATCGATGGACTTCTGCGCCAGCCTTCGTCGGGTGTGGACGTCTCTCTCTCGCCTGTGTATCAGTGACAAATTTCCACCGTTCTCACTGGGACTCTTGTCCTCATCTATTTTGCCTTCCGGGCACTCTACAGGAGGGGCACCTGGCACTATAGGAGGGGCACCTGGCACTCTACTGGAGGGGCACCTGGCACTCTACAGGAGGGGCACCTGGCACTCTACAGGAGGGGCACCTGGCACTCTACAGGAGGGGCACCTGGCACTCTACAGGAGGGGCACCTGGCACTCTACAGGAGGGGCAACCTGGCACTCTACAGGAGGGCACCTGGCACTCTACAGGAGGGGCACCTGGCACTCTACAGGAGGGGCACCTGGCACTCTACAGGAGGGGCACCTGGCACTCTACAGGAGGGGCACCTGGCACTCTACAGGAGGGGCACCTGGCACTCTACAGGAGGGGCACCTGGCACTACAGGAGGGGCACCTGGCACTCTACAGGAGGGGCACCTGGCACTACAGGAGGGGCACCTGGCACTCTACAGGAGGGGCACCTGGCACTCTACAGGAGGGGCACCTGGCACTCTACAGGAGGGGCACCTGGCACTCTACAGGAGGGGCACCTGGCACTCTACAGGAGGGGCACCTGGCACTCTACAGGAGGGGCACCTGGCACTCTACAGGAGGGGCACCTGACACTCTACAGGAGGGGCACTTGACACTCTACAGGAGGGGCACCTGGCACTCTACAGGAGGGGCACCTGACACTCTACAGGAGGGGCACCTGACACTCTACAGGAGGGGCACCTGACACTCTACAGGAGAGGCACCTGTACATCGGCTTACTGTAGCCAGCTCCGTTTTTTTCCGCTCTGCGGAAAATTCTTTAAGGGTCTTTGGTGGGAAGCCGGTTACTAAACTCAGGTGGGAGTGTTGGTGTCCCTCTCTGCTGGGGCTTGGGAAGGGCGTCCACCGGATCTAATTGGAAACTTCAAGTTTCTGTCTCAAAGGAAATTTTGTTCCTTTTCTTTCATCGCCCAACCTTGGGCAACAAATTTTCCTGGTACCATCGAGAAACCGGACTCGATACGGCTTATGCTGTCAGTGGTCCTTATAAACCCAACAAAGAAAGAAGAAAGAAGAGGAAAATGGATTATTTTTTACTATAAGCTGTATTGAGGTTCTATACATAAGGTTTTACAGACTATTGTGCAGTTATACAGTGTATTAACGTTGGTAGAATTAACCACAATATGTTAGGTAAACGGACACAAGTGCAAATAATGTGACATTTACTGTGGCAACGATTCGTTCTCCAGGAGCTGTTCCCTTTATTTAACAGTTAATACAGTGATATTTAAGTAAGTTTATTCAGGTATACATAAATACATTTACATAGATTATCATACATAGCAGCATATGTGTAGAGAACCTGAGATAACCCAAAAAAAGTCAAATTGACTTATTTCCATTGGGATCCCTTGAATACCTTATTATTATACTATAAAGGAGATAATATCTTATTATAGAGGAGATATACTAGGAATAAGGTAAAAAGAGTTATTTATATTTACATGTGTGTTAGCTAAAACAATAAAAAATCATCTTAGACGTACATAGGTAATAAATTATATATGATTTAACTTATAACTCAAATGATTGATAGGGAACAGTGTAGTCAAAAGAGCGAATACCAGACACAGTTCTTGTACAGACAAACACAGCGTCTACCTACTGAGGCTCACAGGACTGTGTCTAGCTCTTATACAATGTCATATAGACATTATTGGTTTATTATATACTGGACACTATTACCCATATATATTACTGATACATTGCTAGTTACTATGTATGTTACTTTCTACATATATACAGTACATTATTAGTCACTATGTTATTATGTATACAATACACGAATAACCTCCACATAGGAGAAACTTATGATGATGTTTCAGTCTGACTTATGACGATGTTTTGGTCTGATATACGATGATGTTTCGGTCTGACTTATGATGGTGGTTTGGTTTGACTTATGATGATGTTTCAATCCAAGCTGAACCTAAATGTCATTGTATGTTTTTCTTATGTGCAGGTTATTTGTGTATTGGTCCAGTCACTTTATTTTTACTTTGTATTCTTTATGTATACAGTATATTATTATTATCATGATTAATCACTATTTACTCTATAGGTAAGAGTGTGCATTTATCATGGCTGATGAAACATTGGCTAAGGCTGGGCTGTATTTTGATGAGCTCAACAAAATCCGTGTCTTGGAGCCGGAGATTGCTCACCAGACAACAGAACTTAAGGATGAGTGCAAAGAATTTGTTGATAGTAAGTAAACACCACTTCTTCTTTTGTTTATTTCCTCAGGTCAAAAGACATTTGTTATATATTTTGTCCCATTATACCACTACTGTAAATAACAATTTTTATCTTCACCATCTCTGTTTGGTAACTCCTCAAAACAGATCTTGAATCATTTCGAAATAATAAGGCACATTTTTAATGTTGTACCATTTGTTCATTAGCTAACTTTCCTGTTGTAATTAACTGGATAAGAAATCCTACTTAATAATCTAATTCTTAAGTAGTCTTCAAGCATTAGGATTAGTTTGCCTGAAATGCACTGCATACTAGTGGCTTTCTTTTGTGCCTACCAATATTTTCTTACATGTAAACTACATTATGTATTTTTGTACCATGAAGAAATAAAAATTTGTCTTGATGCTGGTGAGGGCTCATCCAAGGAATTTAAGTTATCCTTTCCTTGGATGAAACTTGATAATCTTCCATTTCTCAGACTCTTTATGGCCCCTAGCTTAGTGCTTCCTCATGAATATAATGATTTTCAGTTAGCATGATACAATACAGGTGCCCATGGCTCAGTTGGTAGCAGCCTCAGTTCACAAATTAGGGCATGTTTCCTTATACCTGCTGCCCCTGTTCCCTTAACAGCAAGTAGGTATTAATCGACTTGTGGGTCACACATTGAGGAAGAAAATTAAAGGTAATAAAACAATAGTTCCTCATGCACAGACTCTACTGGGTTATCCTAGATGGCTAGCCCTCCAGGTTAAAAACCTTAATTTAAAGCTAACACTTTCAATTGTTATTGTCCTTTATCACACCTTTTTTAACCTTCATCTTGTAGACTCTGGTTGCTTCTCTGAATCTGCCTTCCTTTCCAGCTCACCCTGCTCATTTCATTTCTCTTTCCCATTGAGAGAGGGACATATTCTCCCTTTTTCCTGGTCATTTTCACTAGCATTCACTTTCTATTGCTGTATACTTTGATGGCTCTGAATCCACTGATGGTGTGGGATATATAACCATTTTTCCAGATAGTGTAATATGGGGATACTTATCAAAATTTTTCAGAAATTTTAATATTTGTTATTCTCGGTTAGGTTACATTTGTTTAGGTTAACATGAATAACCAATATATGTATATGTACTTGTACATAAAATTACCTGAGACTCACAAGATTAATAAGTCAGTGGTTTACACCTAGCATTGCATAGCATATTGCAGAATCTCAGATGTGAATTTTCTCATGCATGGTAATAATATTGGAGGATAGCAGGCTGACCTGATACAGTTTTCATAGTTACTAGGGCACAGCACTGTCTAACCTAATTTCATCAAATGCATTTACCTTAGGGGGGATATGATCGAGGTGTATAAATGGAAAACAGGAATAAATAAAGGGGATGTAAATAGTGTGCTGAAAATTTCCAGCCAAGACAGGACTCGCAGCAATGGTTTCAGGTTGGAAAAATTCAGATTCAGGAAGGATATAGGAAAGCACTGGTTTGGTAATAGTCGTGGATGAGTGGAACAAACTTCCGAGTACAGTTATTCAGGCTAAAACGTTGTGTAGTTTTAAAAATAGATTAGATAATACATGAGTGGGTGTGGGTGGGTGTGAGTTGGACCTGACTAGCTTGTGTTGCTGGATCTGGTACCATGCTCCATCTTTGAGGTGACCAGACTGGGTGGGTCATTGGGCTAATCCAGGGGGTGGGGGGGATGGACCTGCTCCTCATGGGTCAGTAGGTCTGTTGCAGTGTTCCTTCTTTCTTATGTTCTTATTTAGCCCAGAAACCTTATAAATAATTGCTTAACAACTCCATGTACCTAATACTAATCTGCTGTAATGAATGAAGGTACTAAATATTACCACACCATGATGAAGAATTGAGACACTTATGCAACACATGGGAATCTTTATTGAAGAAACGTTTTGCTACACAGTGGCTTCATCAGTCCAATACTTTGGACGATGACCTACTTACACTAGTGGCAGATCCCACTGTGATCCCGCCTCCTCCTGCTTCACCTCCTCTGACTGCAGTATACAGTGGAACCCCGCATAACGATTACCTCCGAATGCGACCAATTATGTAAGTGTATTTATGTAAGTGCGTTTGTACATGTATGTTTGGCGGTCTGAAATGGACTAATCTACTTCACAATATTTCTTATAGGAACAAATTCGGTCAGTACTGGCACCTGAACATACTTCTGGAGTGAAAAAATATCGTTAACCGGGGGTCCACTGTATAAGCCACCTCTCTGGCCCTATGCTGCATTTCCTACAAGAGTGATGGACTGAGCACATCGATTCCAGGTTGAGGGACTGATTACCTCAAACTTCTCCTCTCCTTACCCATTTCTACTTTGTATTGGACTGATGAAGCCACTGTGTGGTGAAACGTTTCTTCATAAAGATTCCCATGTGTTGCGTAAGTGTCTCAATTCTTCAACTTGTTGGTTTTCTAAACCATTCATCACACCACACCATGATACTTTGGACCATGTTCTCATTGCTCAAGTCAGTTAGGTTAAGCACCACTGAGTCTGGCTTATAACTGGATGGGTGACAGTGTGAACACAAACTTACCCAACTTAGGAGGACCTTGGCTGTCCATGGTTTCTTGTCCTTATCCCCCATTTATGTTTATTTCTCTAGCAGGTGCTTTTGTAGGGCAAAAATCTCCCATGAAATTAAAACAGATAAAATGAGCCTGGCACTGAGATTATTATTATTATAATTAAAGGGGGAAACGCTAAACCCATAGGATTATACAGTGCCTTTGGGGAGGATGTGGAAGGCATTCAGGCTTAATTCAGGGAACTGGAGCACAGATCCAATTCCCTAGATCAAGAGCCCCTCACCAACATCAAGGAACCTTTCTTGAGGAGCTGGCCCTGAGAGTAGAAAGACTCTCAAAACTCATCAAAGGTATTCCTGTCTTTTCCATGGTTTATAACAATCAGGAAATGTATTGGCAGTTGTATGTACAATATATTTAAATTAAGGACTTCAGCATTTTCCAGGAATCTCTCTCCAGTATACAGTATAGTAATAGGAAATACCTTTCATAATTTTATACATACATGTATTCATTTAATTTAATTCTACAATCAGTATACTGTATACCTGTAGAGGGTTTTGGGGGTTAACGTCCCCGAAACCAGGCCTCATGGTGGATCAGAGCCTGATCAACTAGGCTGCTACTGCTGGCCACACACAAACTAATGTACAAACCACAGCCCAGCTGGTCAGGTACTGACTTTTGGTGCCTGTCCAGTGCATTCTTGAAGATAGCCAAGGGTAATCTCTTTATGTATGCTGGGTGGCAGTTGATCAGTCTTGGGCCCCTGACCCTTACTGTGTTGTCTCTCAGTGTACTCATGGTGCCCCTCCTTTTCATTGAGGGAATGTTGCATCTTCTGCTGATTGTTTTGCTTATTGTTTTATCGTTTCAGAAATTCGCGACTTTCACGAAAGAGCTGATCATTTTATTCAAGTTGCTGACACACTGAGCTCAGCTGTGGAGTCGGAAAAAATGAGAGCTATCGGCTCACGAAATTTGATAAAGAGCATGAGTAAGCAGAGGGAGGCTCAGCAGCAGCAACTATTGGTAGGTAAATAGTATCCTTTAAAATAAGGCAGTTTCCATATATATTTTTTTAAGATTTAAAATTAATGACATACATAGATATTATACATATATGCTATGTACATTTACACCTAGCTCTGCCATTACACAACTGGCATAAGCAGAGTAAGCATCAGGGTGAACACTGGGATATAAAGATGAGGAGCCTCAGATTTTTAGCATATATTTTTTAATATTGCTGTTCTAATAAACAGTTGAAGGTTTAGGAAATTTTTTCTTATCAGGAATAATGTAGTATATTTATGGCATCACATGCACTTGTTTGTTGTAGGGATTATTAATTAAAAATTAAATATAAGTAAATATTTGTCATTAAATATAAGTAAATATTTGTCAGATTAACAAAATATATAAAAGTGTCTATTACTACTCATTGACACTAATCTCTAGTGTCGCTATGAGCCCCAATGTTCCTTAGCACAATACACTTATTATCTGTTAAGAGCTTTGATATACTGTAACTCAAAGACATTATGAATCCAGTGTCCAATGGAAAACTCATGAGTACTACGATTTTTTATATATCTTGAATGTATTATGAGCTCATGCGACCTTTGAAAATATTACCAAGCTACTGTGAGCTTGGTTATGGCCCAAAAGCATTATTTTGACATGTTGTAGAGGGAGTTTTTTCTGTTCTCATGAATGACAATGAGATGCTTCCCACTGTAACAATTCCTATATTGTTTTAACTAAATGGCAAAATCTGGCATCATGTTTTTGGAGATAGTTTCCACCCCCATAGCTTGTGTCCAAACTGTAGCAAATTATTTTTATTATTTTTTATTAACACATTGGTCGTTTCTCATTAAGGTAGGGTGGCCCGAAAAAGAAAAAAAAACTTCATCATACACTCCATCACTGTCTTGCCAGAGGTGCACTTACATTACAGTTATAAAACTGCAACATTAACACCCCTCCTTCAGAGTGCAGGCACCATACTTCCCATCTCCAGGACTCAAGTCCGACTTGCCGGTTTCCCTTAATCCCTTCATAAATATTACCCTGCTTACACTCCAACAGCATGTTAGGTTGTAAAAACCATTTGTCTCCATTCGCTCCTATCTAACATGCTCACGCATACTTACTGGAAGTCCAAGCCCCTCACACACAAAACCTCCTTTACGTCCTCCCTCCAACCTTTCCTAGGCTGACCTCTATTAAAAAAAGTGGTTCCATGACCATAATTTTTAAAGGGGTGAACCGGTAAGCCAGCGGGAGGCCTCAGTCAGATGACCTAAAGCTCCATTGGCAAATGGGTAATTGGTGCAGCATTGTGCTAAGTCTTCTACAAAGCACAAATTATGTTCCCATTTTTCAGTCATTTTTGCTAGGCGATGTCTCTAATTTAGTCACATTTTATTTATTTGTAGGCTAAGATGACACTGCACCATAATTGCTTACCTATGTGTCTTGCAGATAGTGAGGAGAGGTAAATTAAAATTTTGTATTTCTATTTGTAGAATTTTGTTTTTGCACAATAAAAATTTGTGTGATTTTTGTTTTGCAGGCCTTGATTGGAGAAAAGAAACTAGAATTGGAAAGACTGCGTGTCCAGTATGAATCACTTCAACGCATGGATGCTGAGCAACTTGAATTTATAGAGCAGTTTATAATGCAGAAGTGAAATGTAGGTTGTGCAGTTTATTTACACCTTATATGCCTTACATAAAGGTGGAGTGGTATTAATTTAGTTTCTTGTGCAGTTTTTACTTTTTATATATTCTTACTTTTGTAAAGGCATTGACACTTGGTACTAGACTAGAGCACAACATGTTAAGAACTGGAGAAGGTGCAGAAGTATGCAGTGTGACTTGTTCCAGAGCTTAGAGAGGTATGAACTGTGAGGAGAGGCTAATGGTACTGAATCTAATGATGGGGGAGGACAGGAGACACAGGGGAGAAATAATAATATACAAAATTCTCAAGAGGAATTGATAGGGATGACAGGGACAGGCTGTTGAAGAGGTGAGAAACAGTACTTGGGGTTATAGTTAGAAGTTAAAGACACAGATTAGCCAAAGGAATGTCAAGAAGTATATCTTCAGTCTCAGAGTGGTTGGAAAGGAAAAATGATCTCAGTGAAGTGGTGGAAGTAGGCTCCATACAGTTTTAAGAACAGATACAATAGGGCCCATAAGGTTGGGGAATGGGGTGAATCCAGGAGCTAAGACTTGAGTGCTACAACCACATCTAAGTGAGTACATGAATAAACAAATTTTTGGCTTGCCAAATCTTCCTTCCTTAGCAAATTCCTTGACTTGACCTTTACAGTTATCATATGTTCAGGTCACCCTGCACCTCTCCTATGGTCTTCACTCTGCCTATGTATTCTCACATGTTCCTTGTACAGTACTCTCGACAGACTTGAAAAGGCTTAGCCTTCAATTGAAAGGTCTCGGTAAAATTATTCTGCCTTTGTGTCTGCTTTGCAATTTAATGGTATTTTATACCTCTTAAGCCCTACCTACATGAAACCTGTGAAATTTGTGAATAATTCTGCAGTGCAAAACTAGTGGCCACTGTATGCCTATAATAATCATGTACTTAATGCAACCTCTGTATGATTTTCCTGTAAAAAATATGTATAAATTTAACCTAAATAAAGTTTACTTGTCATAAGAACTGTCTAGGTCACTATTTTCTGATGCCATTATGCATTAGGAAATAGGTACAATAAAGAGTCCTTTAACCCTTTGACTGTTTCAGGCCCCTCTCTGAAACTGTCATTCTATGTTGCCAAATATTCGAAAAAAAAAAGAATTATTTTTTATTATGAAAATGTTAGGAATATTTTTCTGAGTGTTTTAAGCCTAAAAATTTTTTTTTGCCAGCAGTACTTACCGAGATATAGAGCCGCAAAGTTTGCAGAAAGTGACGTGCGGCAACAGCGGCGACTGCCGCCCACCCGGTATTCTTTTATTTACTCTAATTCAAAGGTTTCTTGCATTTTTCAATATTTTTCTTTTCCAAGTAACTTATGTGGCCTGTGAGACCAATGTAAGGTGCATTGTTCAAATATACACTCATTGTTTACAACACAATAACTGAACACACTTTATCACTATTAGTTTGTGTATACACTTTGTTTACACAAACAAACAATACAAAACAATGTTTATTACTATTGTTCCATATTATATATACATATGTACAGTCACTGAACACGTTCCTAGAACTGCTGCAGCTTGTGGAACTCTTTGAAACATAGGTATATGCAGAGGGGCACTTGACACTCCTCACACATAAAACGAGTGTCTCTGCATGTTTGTGGGAATTTTGTGGTATGTGTACATACATAACACCTCTTTTGAGCATTTTTCTTGGAAGTGGTAGGAGGCAGCTGTATGGGGAAGTGATCAACAGGCCTGAAACGAGATTGCGTGTGTTGGTAATTTCGTGGGCGCTGGTCTATTGCAGGTGTTGCTCCTTGGTACTTTGCGATTATTTGTCTGATTATTGACAAACAAAATTCACCATATTTTGGTGTTTTGTTGGTCTTCAACTTGTATATGTTATAAGCATTTAGCATGGAGATATCAACAAGATGGAAAAAAAGTTTTATATACCACTTATAACTCTTGCGTACACAGTCTGCAAACCCAATCTGCATGTCACATTTGTCCACTAAGCGCATATTGAGGTTGTAGTCCATGACAGCTGCAGGCTTTAGAATGGGTTCATTGGTCTCTCTGTTGTGCCTGCCACTGTGTGCCATTTCATTTCTGTGAACTGATGTCAACAATGTGACATCATGTTTGTCATGCCACCGAAATGCCATGATGTCATTGGCAGCAAAGGCTTGCACCTCACCTCTGCGAGTGCCAGCGTCGAACCTTGGCATATGTTTACGATTACCACGCACTGTGCCACACACGTCTGTCAAGTTCACTCGCAAGAAATCACTGAGTAAGGGGCTTGTGTACCAGTTATCAGTAAATAACATATGCCCCTTACCAAGATATGGTTCCATCATTGTTCGAACCACATCACCAGAGATACCCAATAACTTCATGGTATCTCTCAAAGTATTACTGCCAGTGTACACAATGATATCCAAAACTAGACCACTTCTGCAATCACACAGTACAAATAGCTTTATACCAAAGCGTTTCCTCTTGCTTGGTATATATTGCTTGAATGAGAATCTTCCTTTGAATAAAATCAAGGACTCATCAATAACAAGCTTCCTGAAGGGATAAAAATATATGCAGCACTTTTGTTTCAGGTACATAAACACATTTCTGATCTTATATAACCTGTCACTTCTGTCAGGCCTGGTTTTGTCTGAAAAGTGTAACATACGTAACAGTATCAGGAAACGATTGACACCTATAATGTCACTAAAACCTGGAGTTGAAATCAGGCGTTCTGTTGCCCAGTATGTGGTGACAGTGTGCTTATACACATGTGGCATAAGCATTATTGTGGCAAAAAACAGGTACATCTCTGCCACAGTTGTCTCCTTCCACTTGTGTAGCCATGATTTTGGTGAGAGAATTGTATTTGCCATGGTGTAATCATAGTATGTGTTTGTTTCCCTGACAATGATGTCCATCAGAGGTTCATCGAAGAATAACTCAAAGCAGTCCAGTTCACTAGCATTGTTCCCAAGTGGACATGATGGCTTTATTCCACTTTGTGTTTCATCAAAGTCATGGGGACTGGGAACAAACTTGTCACCGTCCTGCCAATCCCAGATGCGGTCTGCTGGTGGGTTCTAGATATTGTACCGTGGTTGTGGTTGTGCAGGTTGTGATTGTGCAGGTTGTGGGAGTGTGGGGTCGGGTGAGGCTGGTTGTTGTGCAGAGTCAGCAGCGTGGGTAGTAGCGTGGCCCGCTGATGGTGCCACATGGGCCGTGCCACCCTCACTATCACCACCACTGCCTGCTCCCTCACTCACATCATTCATACCCATCGTAACAATATCGTCATCTTCACTATCAGGTCGTGGTGTAGGGCCACGGGATGTGCTCCCAGAGTTTCTCCTTTCCCTTGGAACAACATATGAAACACTACCAGACCGCATGCTACGTCGTACATACTGCCGCTTCACTGGGGAATATTCACCCTCACTGTCACTAGAACTGCTTTCAATGACCTTGAAATCACTATCACATTCACAGCTAACATCTGGGTGTTGTACACGACCAAATAGTTTCCTCTTTCGTCCTGGTACAGGCGAACGTGAACGTGAATAAGCCGGCCTAGCACCAGAGGTGGAAGGTTGTGGGTCATCTGGGTTTTCATTACTAATTACGTTATCCTGGGCACTTTTTCCGGTAACACTCACTTCAAAACCCTGGAATTCACTGTCACTGACATTTTCATCGCTGTTAGAGCTATCACTTGGGAACAAAAGACCTCCAATCCGCTGAGGAGTGAGGAACTTCTTACCGAGAGGCATGGTGAAAATGGACTAACAAGATGGCGTTCCCACAATGCACCGCTGGGTCCCAGATTTTTTTCACAGGGTGCACACCGACCACTGAGACCCATTCTCTCTCATGTAGGCCTACCAGGCCTTTCCCGCTTGATTTGAAGCCGCTAGAATTTGTGGGTATAAATACGTCAGAAACATTGGCTCGTAAGACGTATTTATACGGCGTAGACAGTCAAAGGGTTAAGTATTTAATTTATAAACAGATATTGATCTTAATTTTTAAAAAATTACACGTGTAATTTTTTATTGTAATGACTTATTAAATTACCACATTTTGAAGGTTAGACCATTGTGTATTGGGATTAACACCCCTAGCCCCTTGCCATTTCATTCGAGTATTAATTTGTAATAATGTTGATAGAATTACCGACAATCTTTCTTTCAACACACCGGCCGTATCCCACTGAGGTGGGGTTGCCGAAAAGGAAAAACGAAAGTATCTCCTTTCAAATTTAGTAATATATACAGGAGAAGGGATTACTAGTCCCTTGCTCCCTAAGTGTAAGTAGACGTAGAAAGACATACCTGAAATCTTGCATGTTTATGAGACAGACAAAAGACAACAGCAATCCTACCATCACGTAAAACAATTACAGGCTTTCGTTTTACACTCACTTGGCAGGACGGTAGTACCTCCCTGGGCGGTTGCTGTCTACCAACCTACTACCTAGAATTACCAACAATATGTAAAGTAAAAGGACACAAGTGCAACTAATGTGACATTTTTTTTGTGGCAACGATTTTGCTCTCCAGGAGCTTTGTCAAGCTGTTATGGCTTGACAAAGCTCCTGGAGAGCGAAACGTTGCCACAATAAAAGTGTCACGTTAGTTGCACTTTTGTCCTTTTACTGTACAGATTATTAATTTGATGAGGCATCTCCTTTGGGGCCTCAGTGTCTGGGACATGCAGAGTGAATATTAATAATTCATACAAAAATAAAAAAAAATTTTTAGATACTGGCAGTTATTTCATTAGGCTAGATTATCATTTGGTCCTGAAATTTGGTAGTTAGCCCAAGGATTTTAAGCATAAAGGTAATTAAATTTCAACTCAAATAATAAAACTGAATGGGATATTTATCTTTTTGCATCCTTTTTGCATCTTAGAGCAACAATAGTTAGGAAAGGACATTTGTTCACAAACTAAGGAAAAGACAAGCAATGCAGAATACACAAAAACTTGCAATAAAATGACATGCACAAAAGCAATTTTCTAGGCAATTGTATTTACTCACAGTTAATTTATCCATGTAGCTCATGTCTAAATTTTTCAACAGATGAAAATCCTCCTTCCTTTAAACTTAAATGTTAAGAAGATTTTATTTAGATTATTAACACTAAAGAGAGGATAACCCAGTAAAGCTAATCAGCATGGCTTATTTTTCGCTGGGGTTCTTTTACGTCCTTCTCTAGGATGTGATCTACAAGTCCATAAGTCCCAGGTATTTACTGCTAGGTAATGGACTGTGGATGTTTAGAGACTTGCCTATATGTCCCATCTTGTAGTATGGTTCAACCACGTCCTCTCACATGTGAACAGAGCTCGCTGGACTTCTCTTCCTTGGATTGAACCTGATTGCCTCCTGTTCTTCAGGGTATAGTGCTTCCTTTGATTAAAACAATAATAAGTAATACTCTAAATTATGATGTTGAAAGGTGATGCATGCAAAGATGCATCCATTTTTTAGTAGAACAAACATTAATAAGAGTCATTTTATCAACATTTGTATAATTCTGTTTAGCATTTTTTCAGCAGTGGTGAAAAACAGAATAAGGATGTCAAATTTTTGGCTGCATTTTTTCTGCAGCATCACAAACTTGTATTTCAAATTCTTATCCTGAACAGGATAAGATTTACCATGTTCAGCTTTCCACATAAAATGCAGTTTTACATAGGTGCAACAAAGGTGTAGCAACATGATAGATTAATATAGAACAGTGCAGAATTCCTTACCCTTCCCAAGAAATTCATAGACTGTCTTTGTTTTACGGAATAGGCAAACCAAGGATAGCTGCCATTGGGGGTTATACTTTTGGCCATATTTCCTTGTCCTACATCATAGCATAAAAGATGATGCTTGGTGTTCAAATTCACTTTTGGAAAGATTTACTGTTAATGGTGACTGAACAAGGCTCTTAATGCCATTAGGTTATCTAAGCAAGACTACTGTTGTCTATTCTTTTGCTATAGATCTTGACCTCTAGAATGTAACTGCAGAGCATTGCTATTTCAAGCTGGAGATTATGAATTATTGTGATGCAGGTGAGGGGGGGCATCTGTGCTTGGGTACACTTTCATTGTTGTAGTGTCAGTCATTCTCTCCAGTAAGAATGGTGAAACTATTGTCACTGTAGTCTACACTGTTTAATGCTAAAGCATCAAGAAAGAAACCCATTGTTGGAGACAGAAAATACTGACTTTGTGGGTGGTTGACCAGAACCGGGAGAAATTGAATCTGCTCTGCTCAGGGGTAAGGCCCTGAAAATTTATGATCATCTTATACAAGATGGAAGTGATCCTCAGGAGCACTTCATGGCTAGTATGGGCTGGTTTGACAACTTCCTTTAGCATTAAAACGTATACTACATCATTAAGACGAGAGGAGAATCTGTAAGTGCTGATCGACCATACCCCCGGCCGGGATTGAACCCGCGGTCATAGAGTCTCAAAACTCCAGCCCGTCGCGCTAACCACTAGACCAGCTAGCCACAATAAGATTCATCCAACTAGGTATATTTCTACACCATAGGAAGGTTAGCACAGGCACCTCTGTGACCACAAATGCAAGTTTTTACAGACGAATCTCCAGCTAGCGTGGCCGTGACGAACTCTAGCTCAAGTCCCTTCACTGCCGTCAACATGACTTAAGAAATCGTAATGACACGATTGCAAATAAACCATACCGGGGGTATGGTTTATTTGCAATCGTGTCATTACGATTTCTTAAGTCAGTGCTGATCGTGTTGCAGCTTCTTGATCTTAAAGCAATTATAGCTGCAGAGGGCTATGCAGTCCTAAGCAAGGTTGCAAGGCAGATGAATTGGGGCTTTTATGGAAGTGGAGGCTATCTAGGATGTACATCTCTAAGGAGAAGGATGCATGTGAATTCAAGGCGGTAAAGGACAGGTTCAGTGTCCTACTGTGCAGCAGTACGTGCATTGAAAGGGTCGAGTAAGAACATGATGCCTGTACAATGGGCTGCTAACAAGAAGGGATAGATGACAGGCCAGATTTTTGAAGGCTGGTTCACAAAGTATTTCATCATGGAGACTGAGTGCCACTGCAGGGAGTACAGCTTATCTTTTAAGGTCTTGCTCATCCTTGACAATGAGAAGACACCCTAAACACCTTGAATATGTCAACCCAAGTGTTAGCATTTTGTTCCTTCCACCAAACACCACCTCACTGATCCAGCCTTTTGATCAGGAAGTTACTGCCACATTCAGTGCCTATAATTTCCTAGCTGGTAGAGGATACTAATGGACCCAACGAGCCAACAATTCACGAGTGGTCAGTCATATAATGTGAGGGATGCCATACAAAACATTAAGCTTTCCTGTGATGAAGTGAAGTCTTCTACCTTGAATGGTGTTTAAAAATTCTTTTAAGAAGACTACAGATAAAGGCGAGTATAAATACGAAGCATGTCTGTTTTGCGCTCAGCAAACGAAGGATCAAGCCTCCACCATGTCTTGTGCTGAATGGCCCACATAGATTCAGCACCTAACATGAATTAAATAAATAAGAAGACTACATTATAAACTTCAAGGGCTTCCCAAAACTGTGAATATGTGTGTGAGAAGCTGTTGAACCGGACGGAAGGTGAGAGGAAAAAGCTTCTCAGACCTTCAGGAACATACCTGTTCCACATCATAATCTGAGAATCTCCATACCTTTTGGTCTCAAGGTTCATGGTTCATCACTATTGCATCTTTGTAATCATGTAAGGTTAAGTGGTTGCTAATCAAAATCCAGAACAAGTTACACTTGACTTTTTCCCACAATGTACTAATACAAGAATTGCTCGCTTCTATAAAATATTCCAATGCCCACTTGAGTAAATAGATGTAAAAATGCCCAGACAAATATCTGATGAGAGGGGGTTACTCTCCCCAGAGCCTTCCATCTTGCCACCTGCAGTGTTGGCTCAGCTGTGCTGCATCAGCTGTCTTGGTGGTTGACAGAGATCTACTCGTCACCATACCAGTAGTCGTATATAAGAAGGATGAGGTCAAGGGGATTGACTAAACAAGGGTACTTGTAATGGCATTCTTCCTCTCCCTCTTTGCCATACCTGGCTGCCTGCTGGCACTCTGTCAGTTCCTCTTCAGGTACATCATGACTTGGGGACCTGGAAAATACAGAGGGAAAAAGTTATCGAAATTTTGTACAGTATTAACTTGGTTGGCTTCAAGTAGCTAATCTTAGATGCCACAAAAGAGTTTATAAATTTATTACCATATTTTGATTCAACTGCTGTTTAGGGAGGAAGAAAATCTAATATTTGAACTGAATAATTTGCATTTGAATAATTTATGAAGTACACGTATGTATACAAGTGTGAACAAACCATATCCAGTATATTTGGTGACAGAATGATATGTAATTTGTTCATGGATATAAGTGGTATGTTCACTTGTGGTAAACATAAGGAAAGATATGTGTGTATTACAAGCACACAAACTAGAAATACAGTGGACCCTCGACCAACGATGGCATTGTCTAACGTTAAATTCGACTAACGATACATGTTAACGCTAACATGTTGCCTCGACTAACGATAAAAAAACTTGACTAACGATATTCGTTCTCGGGTACCAATTAATATCATTAGTCGAGGGTCCACTGTACAAATTATGATGAAAAGTGATGAATAACGTTAAATAGCACTTACGGCATGAGGACTCGAACAGGCCAGGCTAGGAAGCCATATCTGGCTGAATCTTCATGGGCACTACAAATGGCCAGTCTGGAACAACTCTTCATGTCCATCATACTGGGCAGGAACGACAGAGACTCAGTGAAGAGATTGTTCCATACGGATTCTTGAAAGTCGAGTCCACCAGAGCTCTCTCTGGCAATGTCTTCCTGAGAGATGGTGTATATGGACAGGCCCAGCATGCCCAACAGGAAGAGTGCTATGAAGGTGAGGGCACCGAAGGATTGTGAGTTGTAGCCAGCAGCTGCAAAGTCTGCTGCGCCGGGCAGGATAAAAGTAAAGAGTGGGAGAGTGAAGGCTACAGAGGTGTTGAAGGCAATCGATTGGTCATAGTTCATGAAGAATCTTCCCTGCTGACCTTTTGGTGACTCCTCATAAATATCTTTGATTGTGTCTTCCATGTTGCTGGTGGCCTCTGTTATCATGGACGTTGCCACTATCACCATCAAGCACCATGCCATCATGCCTGCAACATAATACATTAATCACTACACTGTAAGTCCTGAGGTTATATTTAAATTTTATATATCTTTGGTAAGGTCTCATTTAGATTATGCTGCTTATCTCTAGTCGCTGTATAGCCCTTGTGGTTTAGCGCTTCTTTTTTATTATAATAATAATCTAGTCTCCGTATTACAGAATGGATATAAATGTGATGGAAAATATACAAACGATCACTAAATTAATTTTGCATTCTTTGGAAAGTTAGAATAAGAAAGATATGATAGAATTATACAAATGAAAGACAGGAATAAATAAATGAATATAAATAATTAGCAGAAAATATCTAACCAAGGCAGGATTTGTAGCAGTGGATTAAAATCAGACAAATTTATATTTAGAAAGGATATAGGGAAATTCCGGTTTGGCAGTACAGTACAGTTATAGATGGGTTGAAGAAATTATGAGATAGCATCAGCACAGTGAGATATTTGGATAGATATAAATTTAAGCAGGACAATTATATGAGTGGGTGTGCTGAGTGTGAATTGGACCTGCCTAGCTTGGGTCAATAGACCTACTGCAGTGCTCCACTGTTCTTGTGCTTCATACCACATCTGAACCCATTAGAAATTATATCACTCCTGCACCTTCAACACACCACATCTGAAACACTATGCAAGTCATTGCACTAGGATTTAAACATCAAACAGTATACATGTATGTATAGCTATACATATATGGTACACCTTGTGTGCTAAGGTAATGCACCTCAGGGCTTGTATTTATATTGGCTTACTTTTTAACCATAATTCTTCCTTTGTTCTTGGCCCTGGGCGCTTGTTTTCCACTCTAGCTCCCCTCAGGGGAGGTTTCTAGATGCTGGTGAGGGGGCTCTTGATCTAGGGAATTCGATCTGTGCTCAGGTTCCCGGAATTAAGCCTGAATACCTTCAATCCCCCCTCCACATGTGCTGTATAATCCTACAGGTTTAGCACTCCCTATGATTATTATAATAGTAATAAACCACTTTAGGTGCTTGTTCTTATCTTTGGGTTTTGTTCTTACCTTTAGGTGATTGTTCTTGCCTTTGGGGGTTTGTTCCTTCCTTTGGGTGACTGTTCATGTTTTTGGGAGTTGGTTAATGTCTTTGGGTGCTTATTTTCACCCTGGGTATTTTGGGAATCACCGAACATGAAAAGGTTATAAAGTGCCTCAGAAATGAGAGGGGTTGGAGGATAGGGTAGGTCCAATTCTTTGGATCAAGATCTCCTCAAGGAAGATTCCTTAATGCTGGTGAGGGACTCTTGATCTAGGGAATTGGATATGTGCTCCGGTTCCCAGAATTAAGCCTGAATATCTTCCACATCCCCCCACAGGCGCTGTATAATCCTATGGGTTTAGTGCTTCCCCCTTGATTATAATAATAAATAATTTGGATCAAGATCACTCTTGCATAAGTTCATTTAATACCTGACCACTGTCAGGAGGGAAAGCAAAGATTAATTATGATGATGTTTCAGTCATGCTCAACTCGCAACCGGAGGGACCCGAGTTCAATTTCTTGGCAAGGCTAGAGGTATAGGGAAAGACTTGAGTTACACTTAGAGGGATTCTTGATCCAAGGAACCGGATATATCTTCCTCTTCCCTGGGTTTAACCTGATTGTCTTCTATTCCCCAGGAGCTGTACGACTCTTACGGGTTTAGCGCTTTCCTCTTATCGTCACACCTTTTGCCTCAATTCAGGTAACAATAAATAGGTAACCGTGTGTAGGTAAAAGACACTATGCACTGATCACAAGTGATTTTTTTCAGTCCATTTGGACTAAATTATTATTATAATCAAAAAGAAGACCAAGCCAATTGTGGTGAAATGTTTCCTTAATAAATGTGCCCACGAGTCGTGGTTATCATTTATTATTATTATTTAATATTCACGATGAAATTTTAAAGACGTAGGGGATCATATAGCATCTGAGAGATGTGAGCCAATTAAGTTTGATTCAAGGAAGTGCACTCTAAATTCCTTAGATCAAGAGACTCAACAGCAACAAGATCATGAATCACAGTCCTCTACTCAAACTAGGCCCCTCAAGGAAGGTTCCTTGATGTTGGTGAGGGGCTCTTGATTTAGGGAATTGGATCTGTGCTCCAGTTCCCCGACTTAAGCCTGAATGCCTTCCACATCCCCCCCCCAGGCGCTGTATAATCCTCCGGGTTTAGCGCTTCCCCCTTGATTATAATAATAATAATACTCAAACTAGGGTTCATGAAGCAGCGAATGCAAAAAAAAAAAAACAAAAAAAACAGGGTAAGTACACGAGTATATATATATGTATATTATCGAAACGTATATTTTAGTATTTCCTTTTTTTTTATGATAGTGCAAACTGTAGCTTTAACTTAGGAAACAAACTTGATACATTATCTGAATCTTTTAGCTCGAGTCTGGCAACAGGTGACCACTTGAGAGACGAGTCCTCGTGTTTTTCTGACGCGTGTGTTTTACGTAGAGAAATTCTATTTTCTACATGTGAACAGTTCTCATTCATTGACTTGTTGTTGTGTACCACTTCGTGTGCATTTCGTGTACGTCTTTTGAACAATGGAATTTTGTTTTATATGAGAAATAGCGATATTTTGGTGAAAATTGTTGTGGACTAATCCAAGTTATCCCAGATGAAGCACTAGCTGACACAGTTACTCGTCAATTTTGTAAGTAAAGTTTTCAAGGCTTTTCTCTTCATTTTATTTGTGCACTCTATAATAATTTGGGGAAATTCGGCTTTTGCAACAGGATAAAAGTAGCATGTATGTTTTTTACACTAAACCAGCTGTTCTAACTTAACTACCATTGTTTACGTAATATAAAATCACGTGTCTGAATCTTATTAAAATTAATGTAATTTAATTACCTTATCTAGTTTTATTTTAATATATTATGTAACCCATACCCATCCTATGGGCGGTAGCCAAAAGATTACATAATGGGTCCAGGGTTTGGGCCGCAAAGTTTTGATAGCTCAAGTTAGTGGTAAGGAACTATTTACATGTTCATATCTGGCTACAGTCGTAATGAATTATTTTTGCAGACATGAATTAGGTCACAAAATTGTTACCTTATATTTTAGCAATGTATGCCTGTAAACAAAAAAAGTTTTAAGTGGCTAAGCGTTACTTACAGTGGACAAAGTCGAGGTATTTTTCCAGAATGGTTGGTAATGTCACTGTGGATATACATGAATATTTTTGAGTGAGTTGTCTGAGTTTATCAATCTGATCGCATTCCAGTACATAATGACAAAGTACATCTGGCAAAGTTGACATTTAGTTTTGTCTACATCTGGTGGTGGTGATTTAACCTGACTGAGATACCATTAACCTCTGCTTATTTTACCATAGCACCATAGTCGTGTGACTCCTGCATGATAACGATGATAGGTGGTCTGACTGGTGTCGGTTTCCCTTATTTTCAAGTCAGTGAAATTCTCATATTCTCAAACTGCTAACTGACAGCCCAAGAATGTAATCTACCATATCAAAAACAATATACTCAGATGGCAACATAATTGAGGTTCAGACATGTATGCGCGGAGCCCCAGACCGACATAATGAGATTAGTCACGAGGGAGCATTCACCAAATTCAACTTCAATAACAAAAACATAAAGTGGGACCAAGTAAACCAAATCCTAACTGATATAAGCTGGGAAGATATACTAAGCAACACAGACCCCAACTTATGCCTAGAACAGATTAACTCGGTGGCGCTCGATGTATGCACAAGGCTTATTCCTCTATGAAAAAGGAGTAGATGTTAAATAGAAAGGGACAGGCGCTCCCTTTACAGGCGACGGAAAAGAATAACAGCGCGGCTAAAAGAGGTCAATATATCTGAAAGGCGTAGGGAGACACTGGTCAGAGAAATAGCAAGCATCGAACTTAAGCTAAAGGAATCTCATAGGAGTCAGGAATCGCAGGAAGAACTAAAAGCCATAAATGAAATCGAAAGAAACCCAAAGTATTTCTTCTATGCCAAATCAAAGTCGAGAACAGCGTCCAGTATTGGGCCCCTACTTAAACAAGATGGGTCCTACACAGATGACAGCAAGGAAATGAGTGAGCTACTCAAGTCCCAATATGACTCAGTTTTTAGCAAGCCGCTAACCAGACTGAGAGTCGAAGATCAAAATTAATTTTTTTATGAGAGAGCCACAGAATTTGGTTAACACAAGCCTATCTGATGTTATCCTGACGCCAATTGACTTCGAATAGGCGATAAATGACATGCCCATGCACTCTGCCCCAGGGCCAGACTCATGGAACTCCGTGTTCATCAAGAACTGCAAGAAGCCCCTATCACGAGCTTTTACCATCCTATGGAGAGGGAGCATGGACACGGGGGTCGTCCCACAGTTACTAAAAACAACAGACATAGCCCCACTCCACAAAGGGGGCAGTAAAGCAACAGCAAAGAACTACAGACCGATAGCACTAACATCCCATATCATAAAAATCTTTGAAAGGGTCCAGCTGTATAGCCCTTGTGGCTTAGCGCTTCTTTTTTATTATAATAATAATTTGAAAGGGTCCTAAGAAGAATAAGATCACCACCCATCTAGAAACCCATCAGTTACACAACCCAGGGCAACATGGGTTTAGAACAGGTCGCTCCTGTCTGTCTCAACTATTGGATCACTACGACAAGGTCCTAGATGCACTAGAAGACAAAAAGAATGCAGATGTAATATATACAGACTTTGCAAAAGCCTTCGACAAGTGTGACCATGGCGTAATAGCACACAAAATGCGTGCTAAAGGAATAACGGGAAAAGTCGGTCGATGGATCTATAATTTCCTCACTAACAGAACACAGAGTGTAGTAGTCAACAGAGTAAAGTCCGAGGCAGCTACGGTGAAAAGCTCTGTTCCACAAGGCACAGTACTTGCTCCCATCTTGTTCCTCATCCTCATATCTGACATAGACAAGGATGTCAGCCACAGCACTGTGTCTTCCTTTGCAGATGACACCCGAATCTGCATGACAGTGTTTTCCATTGCAGACACTGCAAGGCTCCAGGCGGACATCAACCAAATCTTTCAGTGGGCTGCAGAAAACAATATGAAGTTTAACGATGAGAAATTTCAATTACTCAGATATGGCAAACACGAGGAAATTAAATCGTCATCAGAGCACAAAACAAATTCTGGCCACAAAATAGAGCGAAACACCAGCGTCAAAGACCTGGGATTGATCATGTCGGAGGATATCACCTTCAAGGACCATAACATTGTATCAATCGCATCTGCTAGAAAAATGACAGGATGGATAATGCGAACCTTCAAAACTAGGGATGCCAAGCCCATGATGACACTCTTCAGGCTGGAATATTGCTGCACACTAACAGCACCTTTCAAGGCAGGTGAAATTGCTGACCTAGAAAATGTACAGAGAACCTTCACGGCGCGCATAACGGAGATAAAACACCTCAATTACTGGAAGCGCTTGAGGTTCCTGAACCTGTATTCCCTGGAACGCAGGCGGGAGAGATACATGATTATATACACCTGGAAAGTCCTAGAGGGACTAGTACCGAACTTGCACACGAAAATCACTCACTACGAAAGCAAAAGACTTGGCAGACGATGCAACATCCCCCCAATGAAAAGCAGGGGTGTCACTAGCACGTTAAGAGACCATACAATAAGTATCAGGGGCCCGAGACTGTTCAACTGCCTCCCAGCATACATAAGGGGGATTACCAACAGACCCCTGGCAGTCTTCAAGCTGGCACTGGACAAGCACCTAAAGTCGGTTCCTGACCAGCCGGGCTGTGGCTCGTACGTTGGTTTGCGTGCAGCCAACAGTAACAGCCTGGTTGATCAGGCTCTGATCCACCAGGAGGCCTGGTCACAGACCGGGCCTCGGGGGCGTTGACCTCCGGAACTCTCTCCAGGTAAACTCCAGGTACTCCATCTTGAAGGCATGTGACTTATCCATCGGGGCGAATCTTCGGTGAACACAAGTTTTTTGTGTGACAGGAAAATAGGGAGGAAGAGAAGTAATGAAAAATACCCAGTGTTGGCGATGCATTTGTTAAATAATGTTTAAGAAATTGAACTTATTAGCAGCGCTGAGGAGGCCTGAATCTCGCCCCCCCTCCTGCCTATAATTTCCAGGAGTCCTGAAAGCCACCCCCAAATAAAAATTAATAATAACACACCATCAGGGTAAAACCCCTAGCCTACCCCCTCCCCATCCAGTTAGGTAGCCACTCTAGCTAAGACCTTCCTGTATAGAAATTCTGGAGTCGACACTGGTTGAAATACTTAAATATGATTGCGAAACCTAGTGTAACCTGTAATATTCTCTCATGTGTAACGCCTAAATATATGCTGCTCTGTATTAAACGAATATAAAATATACTGTAGTATACTTCATTCCATCATTTTATTAGATGGCATATTTTTTTTTAATTTATCATTTAAACATTAAACTGCGTTTAGTAATTTCAACTTGTCCATACTGATGGTTTGCGTTTACGAGGTTAAAAAATTGAGCGGGTTACACTTCGGGAGCTCTAAACCCCTAGGGGTCATACTAGCATGTGGGGAGTGGGAATTAATTAGGATTGCTCTGATTAAGGGGGGGGGGGTAACTCCAGTTCTTTAGATAGAGTCCTCTTCACCAATATCATTTTACTCAGTAGCCTGCCAGATTCAAGAGGGAGAGCTAAGATGATTTCTTTTGTTACTCTATATATCATTGGTATTCAGTCTATATACTTGTGACATAAACATCCTGATTGCACCAAACATTGCAACACCTGCAATTCAGTAATGCTCGACTCTCAGCCAAAGGGACACGAGCTGATTCCCAGGAAGGGCTAGATATATGGGCAACTCTCCTTACACCAGTGAGGGGCTGTTCATCCGAAGTGTACCTGACCCCCCATTCCCCAGGGGCTAATGACCCCAAGCGATTCAAGGTTTACCCTTGACTATTTTAATAATAATCCTCACCTGTTGCTTTGTTCACTTAACAGTAAATATGTACTCGAGTGTTAGTCGACTGTTATGGGTAACATTTTGAAAAGGAGTAGGATTCAGTAAATACTTTGGTGTGAAACACACACAAGTGCTTCACACACTTATTTGTTTTCACACACGTGTCAGGGCTATTATTATATTTACAAGAATGTGCTAAACCCGTAGGATTCATGCGGCATCTGGGAAATAAGTCCATAAGAATGAACACTTGAATACGCCTGTTGACCCATACTGGGCAGGCCAGTTCGGTTTGATGCAAGAAAGGGTAGCCTAAAAATTCCTTGAATCGTGATCTTCAGCCACAGTACGATCCCTCCGCATCCCAAAATCCTTCAAGAGCCATGAATCATTGTCTACTCGGAATAGATTTCACGAAGCGATGAATCTAAAAAAATGAGTACACGAGTATATATGCACATTACCGAAACACCCTTTATTCAGGGCAACAAGTTTTCTTGGTGGTATTGTGGAGGTGAATTGTGGCTATAACGACTCTCGAAAGTAAAACATGATACATTATTTGAACCTTTAGCTCGAGACCCGCCG